TTTGATCCCACGATTTTGAAACTGAATCGTGTCATCAAATGATATCTTATGATGTGAGACATCAAAATAGTTAATATAATAAAAAATCCCTAGATATTTTTCATAGAAATCAAAAAATTCTTTAAATGTATGATTCGTCATATTAAATCGGCCATTTTGTATTTTGAAAATTTAACTTCAAATTCGTTGTCAGCAAAACCCCCGGATAGTTTTAAATCATTGGACATAAAAATTTGTGACTTTAAAGTAATCAGTTGATGACTTTGACTCCCCATATCTCTTGAACCAATCTCAGTTCTTGAAATTTAAAAATTTTTTGTGATCGATGTCTCATCATAAGGCATCATTTGGCACAATTTCAAAACAAGCTACTTACGCGATCATTCTTTTCTTCGCTGGGCTTTTGGGCTTTTTCAAGTCCGTCTGACCATTTTGTGAATTTAACGATTTTCAAGTGACACAAATATTTCACAGTATAAAAATTCGACCGGACATCGTCATCGGTGCGCAGCGTCTGCGCGGATTTCGCGAGTGCATCTCTCGCGGTAAGATAAGACGCATTAATAATGCAGAATATTGCGGTGCTTCCTCTCCTTGCCGGAGGAGAAAAAGCGCTGCAGCGCTACATATATTATGCATTAGGCGAGGGAAGGAAACCACGAGCGAGCGAGAAGGAAAGGGAGATTTGCCGTGTTTTCGGGCGAAAACCGCGCCGACAGTTTCCCTAAATTCCGACGTCACCACACACATATCATCGGAGCATCGATTTCTCTCCATCGAGGATGCAGTCGCACTTTTATATTTATATGACGTCATATGATGAAACGTTGAATAAGATATCAAGTAATAATGATAATATTCATTTAAAGTAAATATTAACATCGACGTAAAGTAGAGAAAGACAGCGCGAATTACGCGTTAAAAAATATCAATGAAGATCGGACGAGTTTTCAGTGTTCTTTCGTCATGGAAACAATCGAAACCAAGCGCGGATCGATATCGCGAATTTCTCTTTCTCTTCTTGTTCGCTTCTCTTCTCTCTCTCTCTCTCTCTCTCCCACGCTCTTTCTCTCCGTCCGTCTGGGATGACACGGCACACGGTATCGATTGATCTCTCATCCATAATTGCCGTGATTGTTGCGCGATCATGTAACTTGATCTACGCGGCAAAACCGATCCATTATTATGTGTGTGTGTGTGTGTGCGTCAGGTTTTATTTGCCGAGCGACAAAAAAAATTGATTGCGTCGCGCTATGCGCCGAGTTCGGGCTCGCAGTCGTTGCGTAGGTTGCGGCGTAGAGATTGCGCGATAAAACGCCGATTGTAAGCTCGTCGGATAATGATAATCGCCTTTTTTCCCCGAGGCAACCTCGATCTATACGATCTAATTTCTCTTCCGACAACGAGGAAAATTTTCTACCGGCGCGCGCGCGCGATCCCGGGGATTTACACAAATCAATTTTACAGAATTCAGAGATCAATTCTCACATCAATTCTCTTCCGCGGTTCGCAAAGCGGATAATCCGCGAGGTCGAAGATCAAGAGGGAGAAGGGGGGAGGGGCAGGAATGCGCGCAAAGCGGGAAAAAAAATACATAAAATTAAAAGGCACGCAAACGTGTCTGTGCTGCTGTGCTATTAACGTTTGCCGCTTACACCGAAGAGCAGCGAGCGTCTCTGAATAAGGTAATCGCCAAGGAAGTTCTAGGAAATAAGTCTCTCCACCTCGGATCGCGTCGTCCTTATTCGAAAGGAGCCGGTCTCCGCGCGAGATATTCGTTTTATCGTTCATTACGTGTCGAGGGACCTCGCGCGTTCCGATAAACCGGTTTCCGGCCAGTCGCGGAAACGGATTTGGCTCATTTGCCAAGCGGACTTTACGCCCGTTTACGTTACGGTTATACGCGCGGCGTGCAGGAAAGGCGTGCGAACGGTCATTTCGTCGGGCGCAAACAGGCAGACTTTAACGATCGGTAATCGGTTTCACCGGCAGCGCGCGCCGCGCCGGGACGTTCCGGCAAAAAGTTTAATGGCCAGGAAAAAATCGCATTAACGATCCCGCCGCCCGTCGTCGCCGTCGCCTTTTCCCCGCGAAAGGCGCTCGCCGAAGGTCGACCGCGCGAGGCGATGCAAACGACGATGGAAAAAAAGAAGGAAGGAAATAAATGAAGGAACACGATCGGTCCTGGCTCCGATTTCGGTCGACGTTAACTCGATACATCAGGTATGACGAAACGAGAAAAATATTGGATTAGATTAGTCGCAAAGAATTCGATTCTTCAAATAAAGAAACTCTGGTTATTAAATATCTTAAAAAGTAAACCTTAAAAGTATTATATTCACATATCCTAAATGTTTTTTTTTTTTTTTTTTGAAAAATTAGAAAAACTTTGATCTTAAATAAGGATTATATATTCTTACATATAAGTATATGATAATCGTCATATAAAAAATTTTTAAGAAGCTTATATTAAGAATATTTATCTTGACTTGAGTAATTTTTTCTGTGTAAAAATTGACATTATTAAAAATTGCGATTTACTTACCTTAAATCATTCTTGACTGACGCTCATCCAGCTGATGTGTTTAAAATAATTAGGGCAGAGGAAAGAGAATTTTTTTCTAGGGAATTAAAGAAATTCTTAAGATGTGAGATAGACGCAGATTGGAGAAGCGATTTCATTATTCGATTAGACAAGGGAATACTGAGAGAGAAAAAAAAAAGAGAGAGAAAACGATGTGGCGTACAGTTCAATACATGCCTATATTGACTGCGTGTCTAAGTACATCGAATAAGGAATTCGAATCCCAGGATATTTAGCAATTACAGACGTAAATTAGGTGGTGAGATGGTGACTCCTCGCTACGCTGAAGGCGCGATTATTAATCGTACCCTCACGGAAAACGCTCGCTATTCACACAAACACGTACAACACACACTCGTCGCTCTCTTTCGCCGTATACACCTAGATAACATCAAAATAAATCTATATCTCGCAAATAGCAATAATTCTGATCGAGAGGCTATGTACACGAATGGCGGACTAAAACGCACGTACTCGTCCTTTCTCACCCTCTCCCCCCGTATCTCTTTCGCATACTCGCTGCCCTTTCTCTCTCTCTCTCTCCCTGTCTCTCGTTCTTTCTTAATAATCTAGTTACTCCATCATTTACATACATACAATTATCTGTAGCGCGTTTTTTACGCGCAACTACGTCAGAACAAATTCTTTTGTCCCGCTCGCATAAATTCATGGGACTTCGACGGTTCCCGCCAAGAAGCGGTCATCCTCCTCATCGTCTTCTCAGAAAAAAATCGCAGAAGTTTAGGCGTTATAGTTTTTACAATTCTGTCTCTCGCACTCGCTCCATTTTGGCATTCGCACCCGCTCCAATTCGAAACTCTCTGCGCCGCTGCGCGTCGTCACTTCCGTTCCGTTCTTCGATCCTTCGACATAGAGGCGCCAAACTAACTCGGATCGATCCGATCGGTTAATTCGATTAATCCAAAAACTAGAGAATACGTGGATCAAGAGACAAAAATAAAAAAGTTTGAATATCCGACTGGCGACACGTAAAGCTTGAAAGTTAATTTTCATATTGCGATACCCGACATCGTTTAAAGAAACCTGGAACCATCAGAAATTGATACGTTTCCGTTCTTCGGAATGTTTCTAAAGATAGACCGCGGTTATCTGTGACGATCGGTGTAAAGAGATATACGGACATATTTATCTTTTTCTCGAGTCACGCCGGGAAATACATGAAATGTTACGTTATAACGTTACATCGCATACACATCCCGGAATCGATTCGTCGATGCAAGAAATCTCGCGACGACGCGAGCGGAGGCGTCGAACGCCGTTATTCGAACGGCGCATTCGCGAGAATAATGCCGGGCGTTGCGGCGGATTTAACGACTGCGGCGCTTTTGGACGTGATGCAAATTAAAGGCTTCATTAGCGCCGTCGCAAGAAACGACGCGTATAGCACGCTGACGTCAAGCGCGCGCGCGCGCGCGCGCGCGGAGTTATTAGACGAGAATGCGCGTACGCCTTTTCCGTGTACTGTTTCCACAGTCGAGTGCAAGTGGTGCGGCGAGGAATAAAAAAAAGAAAGAGAGAAGAAAAAAAGAAGGGGGGGAAAAAAGAGTCAGTCGCGGTTTTTCTCGGTTTCCTGCCTCGAGCGCGAAAATCCCCGAGACTCGAGATGGAGTAACGCTACGAGAAGGGGGATATATTACGCTCTCGACGTACGTGAAATTCGATTCGTCGACCTTGCAGGTGCGTGAAAGGGTAATTTTGAGTCCCCTGCCAATTAGCATTCCTCCCGATATTAACGCCAATCGCGTTAATTTCCTGCGCCTGTGAAAATTTACCGATTGCGCAATTCCGATTGCGGATTGCATTATCGCGAAATTGTGTCATTGCCAATTCTCCCTCCTCCCTCTCCCCCATAATAATGTAAATAAATAAATATCGCGCGTTAATTACTTTCGGCTTTGCCTCTCTGTATCGCCTCTCTTTTTGAAAATGATATTACGCTAATTGAGGACCACTTTCCGAAATGTACGCACATTCCCGCCCAATATTCTCGAGCTTCGAAAGTGCTCGCGGTGAATAAAAATTTTGCAGCGTGCACATATCCGAAATAAATCTAATAATTCCTCTCATATTTTCCATTATAAACTGTTCCTATTATTCGGAAAAATATCGAGTTTTAAAAATTGGAAAATTTGCAATTTTATAATTTCAGTTAAAAATTTTCGACAACGTACTCGTCTCAAAAAAAAAAAAATATATATATATATATATATATATATATATATAATAATATACTA